ATGTCGCATCACCGGTTCTCGATGCCTGCACCTCCCCCAGCTGCCCTGGGGGATCCTCGAAGCACCTGGGAGAGCGCGAGAAGTGCCCATGCCTGTATGGGCACGCGAACAAACCAGCGATGGCCTCCAACACCTGAGGAGTCCAACCCCATTATATAACGCTTCTCTTTCCTTTTGCTTTCAAAGGAACGAACCTTGCGACCCTGGTAGGGGAAAGGATTGCTTCGTTATCTCTCTCAGTTCCATCATATGGGGTAAGTGAGACAATAGGCACCAACGGAGCAGCTCGGCCCGGACTCACCGAGGCACACCCACCGAAGGCCGTCGCCGTTGCCGGGGTGGTCATACCAATAGCCACCGGTCGCCTCGTTGCTGTACTTCATCCAGCCATTTCCTGGTTTTGGAGCGCCCCCTTTATGAGCACAGCAAAGTCCACGGGGTCGTCAAGTCTGGGGGTCGAAGGTGCAAACGGCGCAGAAGCAATCTTTATAGAGAACCATGGACGTTTCAATGATATTGCCTGGATGTCTTCAATGTTTTCCATCTAGTGGCAGAGATGACCCCCAGCAAACCGAAATGTTTTCCAGGCGGTCGCCTTCACACTGGTCCAGCGGATCATGCTTAAATACAAGTCCAAGTCTCTCAAGTGTCAGAAACGCATAGAAACAGCCATAGAAGGATAGTTTCACCCACCCCTCCATGAATCTTAACCAATGGTTGTTCTGTATTCACACCATCGAATCCTTGCTTGGACATATCTGTACGGAAGAACAACATGCCGAGCATGCCGAGCATGCCGTCTCCTCCGTCTGCCGGTGGCGGGTCAGGCTTGTCTGCGTTCGGAGGCCTTAGCATCCAGCGCTTTACAAAGGTGTTCATCGGGTCCTACGGCGTCCTACGGGGCTTGATGGTGTTTGTTTTGGACCTCCGTTGGATGGTCCAATTGATGCAAGGACGCCAGATTCTTCAAAGGAATCTGGCTTGGCAGAGACTCAATGACTGGACAGTCAATAGTTGGCATCCCTGGCAAGGTCATCAGAGCAAGAACAATACGAAGACAGATTATGCCAGACAATTACGACAAGCAACTATTGGATACTATCAACGTGTATCCATGGAATTTGCCAACAACACCAATGGCAATTCCACCACAATTGCTTCTACCAGCTGACAACACCACAGGCAAACAAGCAATTGGCACACAAGCTGACATTACAGTGGAAGACGCAAGCACACAGACAATACAAGAGACGCCACTGGCACTACCAGCACGAGCAATGCACCATCAGCCAATGGATATGACAATGGCAACATCACCATTGGCAACTTCACCCACAACAATGGCAAGACCACCACTGCCATTACCACCAGCAATCAAGCGACAACACGAGGAGCCTACAGGTGAAGCACAATCCAAACAATCAAGGACAGCACAGTCCTCAACAGCAGCAACCCGAGGACAAGATGAAGAACAACCAAAAGCAAAGATGAGAATACAAGCAGTGACAATAACCACAAAGAAAGGTGACAAGATCACCACAGCATCCTGTGAAGATGAACAAGAAGCAGACGTGGAAAGGATGCTACAAGAACCCTTCGTCTACGACAATGAAGGTCTTGATCCATTGAAAGTACAACAAGGAATGAAGAAAGAAACACAATCAATGAAGACACAAGGAGTGCTCACAGAGATGAACTACAATGATGTTCCTGAAGAACACAAGAACAGGATCATAGAATCCAAGTGGGTCAACAAACCCAAACAAGATGAAGTGCGATGTCGCATAGTAGCAAAAGGCTACTTGGAAACAATCCAAGACCTTGACAACATCTATGCGAGCGCACCAATCTTTGGGATCTTACGTATCCTACTGACAGTGGCACAGCACAACCACTGGACGATACAAGCAGGAGATGTGTCAACAGCATTTCTACATGCACCAGCAGCGACAGACAATCTTTACATGTGGCCACCACCAGAACTATACCCAAGTGGTCACAACACAACCACAGTATGGAAGCTCAACAAAGCAATCTATGGACTACGATCAAGTCCAAAATCCTGGCAGGATCACTTTGCACAAGTCCTACAACAAATGGGACTATCTCGACTGACAAGTGAACCCAACGTGTACAGGAACAATGAACAGACAATGTTTGTGATGGTCTATGTGGATGACCTACTATTCCTGGGACAACTTGAAGTCGACAAAATTTTCAAAGAAGTACAAAAGAATGTACTGCTACGACCAACCGGCACATTGGGAATTGGTCAGACAATCCAATTCCTTGGCAGAGACATCCACAACAATGGAGACTTCTTTGAGGTGAGCCTCAAACCAGAATACATCACCACATTACTGAAGGAAACAAAAACGGAAGCAAGCAATCCAGCATCAGCTCCAGGGACGGCAACCCTGAAACAATCCACAAACGATGATGCACCTCTAGATGCACAAGAACATGCAGATTACAGGAGAGCAGTAGGAAAGCTTCAATGGCTGACCTACACAAGACCAGACATCAGCTTTGCAACAAAAGAACTGGCACGAGACCTACAACAACCAACACAACAAAGCCTACGCAAGGTGAAACACCTCCTACGATACCTCAGGGGAACACAACACTACAAGATGATCCTGAGGACAACACATACACCACAAACAAAGGAACCCATCGACCTCAACATTTATGTCGATGCGGATTGGGCAGGATGTTGAAGCACAAGAAAATCAACAAGTGGATTCATCGTGACAATGATGGGGTCCGTGGTACAATTTGGAAGCAGAACACAAGCAGTAGTAGCACTATCATCAGCAGAATGAGAGCTTTATGCAATTGGCACAGGAGCACAAGAAGGACTACATATAGCAAACTTCATCAAGGAAGCAACAACAACAAAGGTGAACATTCGCATACATACCGACAGCACAAGCGGCAAGAGCATAGCAACAAGAATTGGCTCATCAAAGAAAGCAAAACACATTGACCTAAAGTACCTCTTCATACAACAACTGGTGCAAAGCGGGATCCTATCAATACACAAGATAAGCACACATGACAACCCAGCAGACATACTGACAAAGTATGTCCCGGCAGAGGTGCTTAACAAACACCTCTACATGGCGGGCATTCAATGCCCACAACACCACAACTGAACGACGATCGTACAAACAGTTTCACAACCATGGCAGCATCTATGCGTGTACAATACACACACGGGGGCATCAAGCCATGGCACACTACTTTAGCTAGTATGTGCATACTATGTCATAGACAATATGTACTACAAGATCTTTAGTCTCACAATGGGCCCGACTTTTCTTTCGTCGTTTCGGAGTACAATTCGATGAACAATGTGTTTGAAGTTTTGCTTTCAGAATTTGGATGACAATGCATGTTTGGTTGACAATTTGTCGACAACTTTTTGACCGCTGCCGCTTCCCAGCTCACGAGCGCTGACAATCGGGATCGACTATTTCGAGGACAGTTTCAAGGGCAACAATGGCCATGGAGATGACGATTCCAGACTTTCACAATCAGCGTCGACTTCCCACAAACTCGACAATCTCCTTGTGGGAGGACCGAGCAGTCCTATACAATGAGAACAATATGGAGAAGCCAGAAGATGAAGAAGAGGAGAAAGGGACAAAGCGTCCCAGACAATCCTCAGAAGCCCATGAGAGTCAGATGGACGACATGAAGGGCTAGAACAAAGGTCCGACAATCTGCAGATCTCTAGCAATGACAATGTTATACGTGCGCCACGATGAGAAGGGCAACAATGCTGGAGAGACAATGGCAGAAAAGCTGTACAGACTTGCCTACAATGCCTGAACTGTTTTATGTACAATAATGTTCCTTTACTGTTTCAACAATGTTTGTATTGATGGTGTGATTCAACAATGAATCAAACCAAGGGACGGTGTCAAGATACAAGCTCTTTTACAATAACATATTTACTCCATCGTATTGTTCATGTACAATGACTTGGTGCTTCACAATGCACCCTGGATCAAAGGCCTTGAGCCTAGCCTAGCCTAGCTGAGCCTAAGGACAATTGCCCAGAGGAAAACAATACAGAGACGTGCACAAACAAACGACAAACAAACAGCTGCTGAATTTTACAGTGCGGCAGCCGCGGCGGCACACGAAGGGTGATGAGAAAGAGAAGGAACGAGACGATGGTGTTCCCAGCTACGACTCAAGCGTCCAAGGACACACCCGACAAGAAAAAAGAGAGAAAGAAAGAAAGAAAGAAGGAAAGAAAGAAATGTTCCCAGCTACGACGCAAGCGTCCAAGGACACACCCGACAAG